TGCCTGCGGAGATTCTCACGGTTCTATGGTGTCACAACACGTTAGTTGATCAGCTCATGAGCTCCTCCTCTTCATCTTCTTCGTCATCAGCTCAGCCTCCTACTAAGCGGCAACGTGTGGCGGGAGGTGTAGACTCAGAGACTCTAGTGATGTTCAGGGCTCTAGTTGGTAGTACTCCCACCGAGGAGAGGTTACAAGACTTGCTCATCGCTGCGAAAGGGAACCTGGAGAAGGCTGTTGATCTTTACTTCGCCCAGGTAGGACTCGGGTCCCAATGATATGAGGGTCTTATTGTGGGGGCCTACAAAGGCTAGATTCCTTCGAGGTTGTCGTGCTGCTGCCGTGTGGTTTGTGTAGTACGTGGATGGTTGTTGATCAGATTGATTCTGAGAAAGTGGCTGAATATGTGATGCGGACGCGGCACAGCGGCTCGGAAAGCATCAGGCGACTATCGGAACCGAATCCTAGACGGAAAGAGTCGATTGAGCGACGCCGGGATGATTCGTCTAGTCGCGAACGGAGAGGGATAGATCTGATGCGATGGATGATGGACCCATCATACGATTCACGTAGTCCGGACGTGAGTGGGGACTCTGAAGAGGACTTAGTAGCAAAGCATAGGAGTACGGGAACTGTTCTGGGGGAGATCAACACTTTCTGCATGTGCACGCGGCCGATGTCGACTGAGGAGAATCGGATGAAGCCCGGCAGGATACTGAATTTGACTTGTACTTTCAAAGAGCCGAAAGGGTTCCGTCGAACCGGTGGTAGAAAAAAAGCAGCCAATCTCGGAGACAGAGTACTCCGAGGGACGGCTATAGCACGGCTCAGTCAACCACAGTTGAGCCCTCCGAGCAACGAAGTTGGTAACCTACCCGGGTCGATAGCGCAAGTTCTGTCTCCGCTAGTGATGCTCGATCTGGGATTGTCAGTGACTGTTCGAGTAGGGAAGCTGGCGGGATACGCTGGGGTCATTGGTGGTCCTGTGAGGATGGGTGATAACATACCCGTCACGCTGATGGTCATGGTGGACAGTCGTGGCTTAAAGGCTACCGCCGACAAGAGACATCTGGCACGATTTTTCGAAGTCGCGGCTGACCAAGAGGGAGTGTTTGATAAGCTTAGAGATTGCTGGTGGTCCCTTGTCACGGATGAGGAATGTCTTGGACTGAAGCCTACGCGAGCTGTAATGACGGAATTTTTGGAAGGTCGTATTGATCGTCACTGGTGTCAGGCTAGTTGGAACATAACCGACGCTAAGGCTGTATCATCTCCCGATACGGAGTCCCTGCCATCGCCTGCAGCTGATGGTACTGAGAACGAGGAGGTCGAAGAGACAGAGGGGGAGATGTCTGCTCAAATGCAGGAGGTAATCGCCGGTTACCACACGCAAGAGGGTTCCTCTTTGGGGGACGTTGGGCGGCCCAACTTGGGGTCGAGGGTGTCTTCCGGACTGCACACCTCCAAGTCTCAGAGGGATTATTGGAGTTTAAGCATCCCGCTTTATGATGGAAGATTCTGTCCAGTTTTCTTCGTTGTGCCACTGCAGGTCCTCAAGGCTCGTGATGGGTCCATTGAGTATCTTGCGCGTTTGGACCTGCCTCAAATGTACCCTCCGCCAGGCGTCATGGCGTGTGACCTCAAGCCTTACCAAGTAGGGTTGCGGGGAGATATCTTTATTGAAGCGGCCCATCGTAGGCCCAGGCTCTAGGATGGATGATGAAGAGAGAATGGCCCGCTGAATGTGGCGGCCTCCCTGAAGAAGCCATCGAGCTCTACACTGATCCTATCGGTAGGCTGGAGCTCTCTGCTACGTCTTGGATGCGGCCCGTCGTAGATGCTCATCATTGTGCTGTTGTCGACAAGCAAGAGGTCGCTCTACATCCCTCTTGGGCAGAGTTCCCTACCCTGGACCCCAGCACCAAGTAGGGGCTCAGCCTTTGCATCTCGATCTCATCCAAAATCAGGCTGTATCTACATGCATCGAGGGCTGAAGCCTCAGTAGAATTCCCTGGTGCCGCACCAGATTGTCTGGGAGGAATTCTTGCGGATGAAATGGGTCTGGGGAAGACTATCATGGCTCTGTCTCTCATCGCGACAGACCGATGGCTGCTGGATCGGGGTGTGAGTCTTCAACCCAAGACATCGGGGAAGGTAGGCAACCTTCATGGTCTCGGCAATCTTATGATATGAACGTGCGTAAATGGCGGTGTGGAGTTCGGGCCAACTGGGCATGATAGCATTCTTTTCAGGAAGCTGTGAGTCATTGTCGACTGAGTACCAAGGCTACTCTCATCGTCGTACCTCTCTCACTACTAAACCAATGGCAGAACGAGGCAGTCGAGCATATGGGCGATGTGGAGACATTTGGTAGGCTGGAGAGGCTTCGAGGGGTCCAGTCTAACAGATGCTAGTGATGTGCTAATCGGAGTAGATTACTCCTGAGGAGGTCTATGAGACGAACTGGGCCTCTCGGGGATTTTCAACCAAAAAATAACCCGACAGTCAATGAGTGAAAGAGAAACTGTTCTCTTGGCTGAATGCTGAATACAAGTTACTTGGAAGTTGAATCTGAGATAAGCGGAATCAGTAGCAGTGAATCGTCAGTGGCGAGTCGACATTCAAAGAGCTGCGTAACAGGACCGTACGGCTGATATTTCCTCATTAAAAGAATAATCGGCCGTTCTACGATATAATGCATTTCATTCAATGAAACTGTCATCCATCTCAGCCCGAGCATTATCACACGCAGGTAAGCCTTTCCAATACTACGGAAACGATAGGATACGCAGTCCTGAGGAGCTAGTCGCAGTAGCAGAGAGGGCCGGCCTCGTGATGACCACCTACGGCGTCGTCACACGGGATGGACCGGACATCATGAAAGTGGGCAGACCTGTTCCCTTCCTCCTGAACTAAACTCTTTTCAGCACATTCGGTGGCGGCGTATAGTATTGGATGAGTGTCACTTGATAAAGTCACGAGTAACGGCAATCTCTCGAGTGGTGCGGACTTGTCTCCACGGGGATCGTCTCTGGTGTCTATCGGGTAAGCTTAATCTCGTACCATCTATTGGATGACTGAGGCTCTCTAGGTACTCCTGTCCAGAATACTTTGGAGGACCTTTTCCCAATCATACAAGTAGCCGCCATGCTCACATCACGAAGAGCACTCTTCATGATGCCCTGCCCTTGTCAGTTCCTCCACGTCGAACCGTGGTCGTCGTTCGCCTTCTACAAGCGGCATATAGTGGACCCTGTGAAGGAAGGGGACCAAGCGGGTCGAGCTGCTCTGCATAATATGTTGTCCCGTATCATGATAAGAAGAACCAAGGAAACCAAAGATTCCAATGGCCAACCCTTGGTGCAGATGCCAGATAAGGTCAGACCACTCACAGTGGTGGTCACTCCGTGGCTGCTAGTCATGGAAGCCC